ACAAGGTCTTTGCCAAGTATCTGAGTGCCGAGCCGCAGACGTACCAGCAGGTACGCTGGGTAGCAGGTGAGAATAGTGTTCTTCGATGCCCTAGTATCAATGTCCTCTTGGACTTTGCCTCGAGCCTTTGGGTGGCTAATACCGTGGGATTTTGTAGGCACCGTCGTTGACATGAAAGAGGTCAACGGACACTGGATGTACTCGGTGCGATTGAAAGATGGGGCAAGTGACACAACAATGCGCGCATTGCGCTTCCGTTCTAACTTGTTTCTGTAGAGTATCATGCCCAACGTATCAGAACGCTACAAGTGCAGTAAGTCGGCAGGTTTCTCACACCGCTCTTGTATTTATCCGCTTTTTTCCAGTAATGCACAAAACTCCAGACAACTACCAAGCACTCTTGTACAGTGGATTCACAAACCTGGAGCCGTAAGGCACTGGCCACCCGCCGTCTCTGACTTGGCACAGATATCAAAATCATCGGCCATCTATTACCGCCTACCTGTATAGTTAAATGATTTTTCTTATTTCTTCATGTATCATTCGCTTTCTTCAGTGTTATCTAGTTGCCTCGCTTTCAAAAAGTGCTGATGATGAAAAGTCTATCAAGATGACGGTCCAGCAAGTGGTTCCCTTCTTGCCCTTTTTGGACAGTACGTCACGTGAGCCGTAGAATTCGCGGGATCAAATTCCGACTCCGTACATTTGGTCCCGTCGCAAAAAATTCTCCCTCACGAAAAAAGTGTCTACTTGTCAAGTTATGGGTTTCTGGCATCACGGAGACGATAAAAGCAAGCAAAAAGAGACTCTCCCAGTTAGGATCGAACTAACAGCCTTCTGATGATATGTTCGAGACATTCATGACTAAGCATGACTAACAGTCAGACGCGCCACCGATTGCGCCATAGGAGATGTCTTAAGATTTCCCTTGATACTATTTAGCGCCCGCTTACTCAGAGCCACTAACCAACGCTGCATTGGTCACCCGCTAATCACTCCTCTCTGCAACCACTCTGGGATGGCCGCCAGCCTAGGCGCTCTACGCTCTCTCAGACAAAACATTGTGTTTAGTACACGCCCTCTGCTTCAAACATGTCGTAGTCGTCCTCTAGGTATATTTGCCCGCACTAGCCCGCCATTTCGAGCAGCACATCTGTCAACGTTACCTCGGTCGTGTAATAATTCTACACCAGCTACCAAATCACCCATTCTAACGCTTACTCGCGGCCTCAGAAGTGCCCTCGAACGAACTCCTGTGCGACGGATCTCTCGCCCGCTCCGACCCCCATTTGGAAACAACAGTGGCGACGGCTTTGTTGCACGATGGAGAAGGCGCATCGACAATACGAACCCAGATCTCATCTTCTATGCGATTGTTGGAATCAATGGGACGGTGTTTCTTATGTGGGCTTGGGGACATGAGAACCTGGTATGTATCGTCAAACCTTACAGCCTCGCATCCTATTCATGATCTCTCGTAGCAAAAGTTTAGAGATCCAGCGCCCCTCGTATTCATGTACAAAAACTTTACTACGTCGCTGAAAAACGTTATGGATGGCAGGATGTGAGTACAGACCGTAGTCAGACGGTCTCGCGCACTAATGATATCATTGATTAGATGGACTCTTTTGACTGCTTGCTTTTCGCATGAAGCCACTGGCCACCTGTTGGTAAACGGCATGTCGTTTTGGTGAGTATCGAGTTCCTGGCCAAGTATTGCAACTGACACTTTGCAAGGTTTATGGCGCCTCCTGTAATGCGCATGCTGGGGAACTCGGCATTCCTTGCGCTTTACTTGGGAGGAGGAATTGCTGCCAGTGCGTTTTCCCTCGCCTGGAACGCTGTAGTGTCACACCGATCCGTGAATGCTCACGGTGCTTCGGGAGCAATCTATAGGTACGTCTGCGCAGAGTGAAATCAGCTACTCTTCTAACAGTGGATACACAGCGTGATATCTCTATTTGCTTGTGTGTTCCCCCAGACCACTTTCTTGTTGTTCTTCGTTGTCCCCGTTCCGGCGTGGTTGTGTGTTAGTGGTATCTTCGCTTGGGATCTGTACGGAGCACTCCGACGCACCGGTGGTATGACTGACAGTGCAGGGCACATTGGCGGCGTGCTAGCAGGAATAGCCTTCTTCCTGAGGATGGGGGGACGTTTTGGTCGGTAGATGTTGGCTTGACGACTATATAGAGTATATCGGAGCATACTCAGACTTTGATCCATTCGTGTACTGGAATATCTTTAACCCCAGCTCAGCAGAATTCACTCGATCCCAACTTAAAAATGTAGCTTGAAATGCATTATCAATGGCCCAGAGAAAAGTGTCGACAAGCTTTACTTGAGGCAGTATAACGGACAAGATATAAACCAACGCGAGATGGTCGAGCAAAAATAATGTGTAGACAGGGCTATATGCGCATCGCGTGGCTCGCCAGGTGCTGCGGTAGAACACAATCGAACGTGGGCTGTGGGGCTGTGCGATTGCGCAGACAACAAGAATGATGAGCACAGTGACGTCGGCCGTGCTCCAACGGGTATATAAGGTTGGCCCCTGTCCTCGGTGCCGTTCCTCCCAACCACATCACCATGTTCCACAAACTACAAGCCAAGGTCTGAACGCTATTTCCACTCGTACCCAGAGTTACTGATCTGTACTATGCAGGCCCAAGCAGCCCTCAGCTCTCGCCTGTCGTCTGATAATGATGATCACGCCTCCGGGTACACCCAATCCACAGCGCAGGGTCAGCAGGACCCGACTCAGCCGACCCAGCAATCGAGTGGGCGCCATCATGCGCTTGATAATATCTCGCACACGTTGAAGACGCTCCAGGCTCAGTATTCGTGAGTATCGTTTGCTTATCTGGGTGAGATGCGCTCTTAACAGACCATCAACAGCCCACAAGTGCGCCCCGACGCTCGCCAACTACAGCTTGTCATTACCAGCCAAAAGGGCGTAGCGGTAAGTCTTCAGATCAAGCCAGATATCGCACGATCTCACACTGTCGTTTCCAGTTGGATTTTGATGCAGTCTCGCGTGATTCCAAGAGCCATTCCAAGGAGCTCTACCTCTGGGGCCAAGATCAAGTCGAGGACGTCAAGGATGGCAAGTACATTTGTGTCTTCCAGACAATACTCTAACCCGACCCTGCGATAGTCTCTGATCGGGTTGCCTACGTCAACTTTGTGCACGGCTCACTCGCCAGCGACTTGAGCAGTTCTCTCGACACGGCACGCGCATCCTACAAGTCCCTTCGCGACGCCGAGACTACACTCCATCCGCGCCGCACGATTCGCTCCAATATGAAGGCCGAGATGGAACGTATCAAGGCTGCTGGATCTGCGGGCAAGGCCCCTGCCAACGGTGCCGAGCGCGTGGCCGAGCTGCAGAGTCAGTTGGCCAAGGCCGAGGCTGACGATGCCCCTCAAGAACGCGAAGTTGCGCTATTGAAGCGTCGGGCTTTGATCGAGTGCGAGCGGAAAAAGTGGGCTGCATTTAAAGAGTACGGCGCAAAGCTTGCGCTACTCGCGGATGCATCCGAGGCGTTGCTCGCCGAACTTTCCGAGCAAGAGCCGCAAGGTGCGTATTCGGGCACTACAAACACCGCCCGGATTCGCTCGCAACTCCAGCATGCAATCGACTCCTACACGCCTGCGCAAGGCCACACGAACCAGTTCAAGAGCGCCCCAGCTGGCCCTGGTGTTGGAGCGAGTGCGGACACGCGTAGCTTTGGTGAGACTCACAAGGACGAATTGGAAAGCTTGCCTCCAACCGCGCATCCTACGCCTCAGCCTGCTGCGTCCGGACCTGGAGCACTCGCCGGGCAGCGATTTGGGTCACAGTCCGCCACTGGCGCGCCCTCGGACTCTGTGCCTGGAGCGGAGTCTGCGACTCGTAGCAGCACGGCCGCTACAGCTGGTCATGCGGGCGCACCTACGGTCCCGCCCCTCAACCCAATGGCCCTGAACCACACACCTGCATCCATCCCTATCCATTCGCCAACTGTATCATCGCCGCTCCGCGATGCTTCCACTCCCGATCAACCCGCTCACGTTCCTGCGACAGCCAATACTACCTCTCCCTCTGCTACCGCAGCTCCTGTGCCGGTCCCCTCTGCGCCTAGCGATTCGACAAGCCATATCACTGTCGCCGAAACCGGGGTGCCACTGACGGCTGGTGCTGGTGGACCGGGTCCCAAGAGTGGAAGCCTAAGTCGCGATAACGGACCTGCCGGTCCCACTACCGGTCCCAGTGTGGGGACTGTCCCTCCCGCGGGGACTGCACCCTCGGCAGGCACTGCGCCCCAGACGGGAAATATTCCTGGAACCGCTGAACCACTCCCAGGATTCGAGGGCTCGACGCGGCACGAGACTGCGGAGGAGGAGAAAGCTCGACTGGCCCGGGAGGAACGCGAGCGCTTGCTGCATGGCTCTACTTCTAGCGGGGGTCATTTGTCTGCGGAGGAGGAGAAGGCGCGTCTCGAGAGGGAGGAGAGGGAGCGCATACTTCAAGGCCAGCAGGCTAAAGGACAAGGCGAAGCTGGGGATGATGGGAAGGGTACTCTCCCTCCGTATGCCGACTTTTGAATGGCCGATGCTAAATGTCTTGATTGTGAATAGCTTATGCTGTAAATGAATCCCCGTTTGACTTCGGATCCTTATCGGTCGCGTGCCTAAGCTGAAACAAAATCATATAAAATAACCACGTTGTGTATTCAAAGCAGAAACGTAATAGACTCAACACGACTCGCACCAGTGTTAACGCTTAAATAATCCACTTCTTCCCCTTGCCCCCCTTCCTCTCACTCTCCTTGTGGCTGGCAAACTCCACTTCGGTAGCCAGAGGACCACCGAGCCTCTGGGACTCTGCAAAACCAAGCACTTGTGTCTTGAAATGTTTTCCGATCGCTTCAATTCGCTGCTTCAACTCTTCTTCAGTTTCTCCTAGGTTAGGGGTGCCGCTCGCCATTCCAGGGGCAAGGCGTGTCCAAATGGATATTCGGTAGAACTGGGGGCGAGAGGAGACAATGACGCCACTAATGAGGGAGGTGGGCGTCGGCGCTGTCGAATCCTTGTCTGCTTTGGAGAGGGCAGGATCAAACGTTTCGCCAATTGCAGCGAGCATCTGAAACGCAAAATGTTAGATGCGATATAATAGTCGATATTCTTTGACGTACAGTAAAGAGCCACATCTCGTCAATACGAGGGCGAGTCTTTTCTTTAGGGAGTTGCACACTCCATTTTCCGCCGTCCTTGTTGCTCGCGTCCTCCCACGCGGGCATGATATCATCCTATGGGGCAATGAATAGGCACATGAACACGAGGCATATAACAAAAAATGTCAATCTACCTTGAAGAGATAGTAGTTTGCCTTGGCAGGCAGTTTGGATGGCGACACAATATTGTTATAAAGCCTGCGAAAAGGTTAACTCGGTAGCTGGAGGGGTATGGGTGACGTACCCCCAGAACTCTTCGACAGAGTCAAACTTTATTAAACGCTTGATGTCGTCCATCCAACTAAGGGCTCCAGGAGTAGGTGGGACACCGCCTGGAGTAGGGGGTACAGATGTCGACGGCGTCTGAGGGAGGGTTTTGCCTTTGGTGTTAGGGGAATCGAACCAGAGAGTCCAGGGAGAGTACAGTGGGTGCTAAACGTGGACAATCTAAGCCGCTAATCGCAGGTCGCGCGAACTGGCCTCACCTTGACGTTGAAAGTCTGCGGATCCTGGAAGACGGTGCGCATTTCGTCAAGCTTGGCGGCATCAACAACGACCTCTTGACCCTCGTCAATCTCGCCAGGCTCTACCTCGGGCGAATCAGCAATTGCAGCCTTGAGAGCAGCCTGGGAAGCAGCCTGGGCAGCAGGAGGGAGTGTAGAAGCCATGTTGGGCAACCAAACTAGGGACGAGAAATTT